GGGTGCTTTGCACTTGATAGAATAATCATTGATATGCATGGACAGCTGTGGTAGGTCACCATTACCACCAGATGTCAAATTCATATTTCTGGAAGCAGCTTGAGAAGCCTACATGATAGTCAAGTGAGTGTTCCTAGTGGGTTTGGAACATAGATTTTAGCCTTAGAGATCTTGTGAGAATCTTATGTGTGTTTGTGTGAGTATGTATGTATGTATGTATGTATTTTATTTTATTTGGGGGGGTTTGAGACCGGGTCATCACTATGTAGTTCAGTGTGGCCTTGAACTTGTGGTGATTCTCCTGCCTCAGCCTCTCGAATGCTGGGATTATGGGCATGTACCACCACACCTAGTTTGGATTATGTTTAGAGCCAAAAGAATGGCGACGATCATATTGGAAAGGGGTTTGAAGAGCACGAAGCATAGAAGAAAGCTTTGAAGGAGGGCTTGGAACAGTTGGAAGTTGAGTAGAGAATTAGGCCAAGTGATCTGAGGAAAGCCATAATTTCATCTCTGTTAACAGAGTTGAGAATGGGCCCTGGTGCTTTTAATAGCCTATTTCTACTATGATCACCCAACCCAGGCCCTCCTCATCTTAAGGCTGGTTTCACTTGTTTCTAAAAGTTAGTGAACGTCTGCTGCCTGCTGCAGCATCACAGTCTCTGCACTATTACAGACTCATGGTAAATAGGCCTTGTACAAATAAGTCCTTGAATGGGGGGTGGCCAGGGAAGTTTATTTGTATATAGGAAGGATCTGAGCTTGGGATTGAGATGAACCCCTGCAGATGGCAGTGCTAGACACCTGGTAGAAAGGTGGGTAGGCCAGGATCCCAGAGAGCTGTGACGCCCGGGTGCATGGTATAAACCCTATCATGCAGATTTTAGAGTAGGGGCCAGGGAGATGTGTGGGACTCGGGATGAAACCTGAGTTTTAAAAAACTTCTTTGGCAGAGGCATAAAACACTGGATTAGGGAGGTGGTTTAACAGACTAGGAAAAGTGGGATAAAGGCTTCTGGACAGGGCAGGAGGGTGTGAGCAGCCTTCCTCAGAGAACAGTGTGCATGCTGGACCTCACTGGAAAGTACACAGCCACAGATAATGGTGTCATGACACAGAATAGCCACTGTTATCGTCTATACTTCACAGAGGAGGTGGCAAAGCACGATGGATTTGGGAGCAGGGTCTGAATTCTTTACTTCTGAGTAGTTGGTTGATCTTGATCAGGTTCTGCTTCATTGGCTGTGAAATGGGGAAAGTAATAGACCTTCTGTCTTAGGGAGGGTTTTGAATTAATAAATGAGGCTTTGGCATATAGTAGGTATTTACTAATAGTTGACTAGAATGATCAACAGATTGCATCATAATAAATGGGAGAAACAGGATCTGAACTTGTTTGTCCACTTTCAGCACATTACCCTGAGATTCCAGAATCATCCTTCCTCACATGCTGCCTTTCTGTGTCAGCATCTTCTGATGAACCTGTTGTGTGTTGCCTGGCATGAAGCCCACTTTTGATTGCATGGTGCTGGCATTCCACTGTCTGTGCCCTCTGGATCACCCACTCAACTCTGTACAGACTCTGGCTCCCAACTCCCATTCTTCAACCCTGTCTGTGGCTGCTCCACCGAGCCCCCGCCTGCATGGATTTGGCCTTTCCTGGGTGACCCAGCCCTGGTCTCCTGCCAGTTGAAGGCATTCTGGATTGCCACAGGCCAGTGTATCTGTCCCTTTTCCAGGCTCCCTTGCTGCACTAATGGGCTGCTTGTCAAGACTTCACAGTTTATCTTGCCTGCTAAGTCAGTCACATTAGTCCATGGATACCTTTGTTTTTTAAAAATTCCTCCCAATGCTAGATGCTAATGAATTTTTAAGATAGTGAGCAAAATTTATTTTATTTTCTTGAATTTGAAGTACTCTTCAGTGACTTTGTTTTTTTTTTGGGGGGGGTACAGGGGATTGAACTCAGGACCTTATACTTGTGAGGCAGTTGGCAGCACTACTGAGCGAAATCCCCTGCCCTTCAATGTCGTTCTTGACCTGAGATTGTTTGCCATAGTCTTCAATCACTGCATAACTGTAACCAGCCACTGTGTGGGGTTTTCCTTTCAGATGTTTTACAGAGTCTCATCCATTTCCTTAGGGCTTATCTACAGCTTAGACAGACTTGGAGAGCGGTAGCACCTTCCTTAGCCATGGTGGTGGGTTGCAGTGAAGCTGGATTTTGAATGCACTGAAACCTCACCTTCATGTCTCTGGCAGCCTGGAAGAAAGATGAGTAGATGAGTAATCTCTGTCTCCAAATTTGTTTTCACAAAAGAAAGTCCTTGGGATTTTGATAGGAATCACAATGAGTCTGTAGATCACTTTGCATAGTACGGACAACTGAGCTATATGATGTCTCCCACTTACTGTGTCTGTAATTTCTTCTTTCTTTCCTTTTCTCCCCCTTCCTTTCTCTGCTCTCCATACCGCTCCCTTTCTCCTCCCACTCTTCCTACTTCCCTCCCTCTCCCTCCTTCCCTCCTTCCCTCCTTCCCTCCTTCCCTCCTTCCCTCCTTCCCTCCTTCCTTCCTCTGGGGTTCAGACTCAGAAGCATTCTACCACTGATCTACATCCCCAGCCCTTTTATTTTTTGAGCCTGGGTCTTGCTAAGTTGCCTGTGTGGGACTTGAATTTGTGATCCTTCTGACTCAGCCCCCTGAATAGCCTCCTTAGTAGTTGCAGTTAACAGGCATGTGACACCTGCCCAGCAAGAAGCAGGAATCCAGAGGACAGTAGCTCAGGTACTCCCTCGTCTCACACCTGGGGATGTCACTAGCCTCCACAGCCTATCAGTCCCTACTGCACATTCAGGCCACATGCCACCGGAGCAGTCTGTATCTGGTCTTTGCAGGGAAAACTTGTGCTGGCTGCTAGCCTGCAGCGAACACGAGCACCTTAACTCTTCAGGGCTCTTTGCAGCCCCGCCTCTCCTGCCTCTCAGTCTTCTCTGCACACCTTGTCCTCCTTGCAGTTCCCAGAATGTTCTTGTCCCCTTCCTGGATGAGTGGAAGCCCTGCGGGAGCCCACTCAAGCTCTTCCTTGTCACTGCTTCAAACACATCAGGAAGCAGAGCAAGGTGCTTTCTCCTTGGAGCTCCACCCGCAGCACCTTTTGTTCCTGGGCTTCTTCCCTGCAAGTCCAGAGCCCCTCTGCTTACCTGTCTGCTTTCCTGACTAGCCCCGGATTACCTCTGCCTTCCTCACCCCCGCAGAGATGCCTGTTGATTATGTGGGTGATACTTTTGTCAGGTAACACTGGTCACTTCTTCAGACCGGAGAAAGGTGTGCAGCTTGGTGGTGTCCTGACAGATTTTTTTCCCTTCAAACTGTATGAATTGCCTTGAAATTTGACAGTGATGAGTCATATCTCAGCATGGAGTGAAATCTGAAAACACAGAACCTCCAGGACTGGAATAGGAGATCGCAGATGGGTTTGCAGGCCAACCGTGGCTCTTTCCTACCTTTGCCCAGCAGATCTCAAAAGCTGGGAGCTGGAGGGCCCCTCTTCGCGGTGGGCAGGTGATTTATTGGCTGGGTCAGTTCCGCAGTGATTTAGTTGCGCCCTGCAAAGTGTGAGCTAGTACCTGGGCCCGGAGGGGAGGGGAGTGCCCACCCACAATCACAGCGGAAGGGGCGGTGGGGGTCAGCGGGGCAGGCCCCCAGTTTCTCCAGGGCGCGTGGGCATGCGGCCGGGAGTGGTGACCCTGTACACCCTGAGTATGGGCTGGAGACTGAACAGCCTGGGGAGGGCCCCGATCCCGCGGGCGCCCTCTCCCCGCTCCATGGTAGGGAGGAAGTTTGTGTGCTTCACTGCTTGACGCACTCCTGCTCCGAAGCTGGACCCTGAGATCCCAGCGCCGGGCCCTGGAGGCTCCACTGCCCAGCGGGGGTCGGCCAGGGGCGGGGCCAGGTCTGGCTGGGCAGG